TTTAATAAATGCCTACAATCAACACATGATTGAATCTCAATACTTATAATTGCGATGACTGTCGCTTTGTGTTTGCATTTGTGTTTTGACACTATGTGCCTTTTGCAAGCCTGATAATCATGTTTCGGACTGCAAAACCATAATGGGTTGTCATCTCTGCCTTCTTGCAATTGCATTCAATTCTGTGTACGATTTTGATGAGAGTATTTCTATTTTCATTAAAAATTCTTCACTGGATTCTCGAATTCTTATATAAAATTTATCTAAGGTGTAAATTATTCCTCTAATAATTGCATAGTTTTGCAGTGGTATTCTGCTTTCAACCCTGTTTTACAGCAGAGAATTACAATTGATTGACTTTCTGTTACACAACTGTTGCATAGATTGACCAATCTCATTCAAGTGGAGATTTTGATCTTCTTCACCAATGCAATCAAACCTTTTCTTTGGTGCAACATTAAGCTAAAGCCTAGCGCACACAGCAGATATTTGTCGCAAAAGACGAAGATTTTTGTCTTTTTCATAAAAACTGATTGCCCGCACACAGCACGATTTTTTTCGGATTAGTGCCTCGATTAAGTTTTGTGACCTCTTTTTCACATTGTTTGAACTTCTTGGCGCGTAAAATAAAATTCCAAACACGAATAAAATTGCTCAAGAAACTGACAAAGGTTATGAATTTGACAAAAAAGAAAGCACTGTTGGCTATTATCCTTTTAATAAGACGAAGAAGGAGGCGAATTGCGAGACGAATGTGGGTGAAATCCTGGATTGAGCGTAGAAATGAGCTGGGAGCATATCAGAATCTTGTTCAGGAGTTAGCATCGGAGGATAAACCTATGTACCAACGCTATTTTCGTCTCAACGAAGACCTTTTCAAATCTCTTCTTGCCAAAGTAAGACCAATGATTCAAAGAAAAGACACTCACATGCGAAAATCAATTAGTGCAGCAGAAAGACTTGCAGTCACACTACGATACTTAGCAACAGGTGAGATTTCACAATAGTCTGCCAGCTTGATTCAAAGAGAAAATATAGGATACAAATGAGAAAAGTAAAAATATATTTGTGAATAATAAAAATAACTTTAAATATTCTAAATGTTTCTTCTACAGAGTTCGTAGCAATACTTAATAACAATAATGACAATACTTCTTACTAATTGATATCTTTCACAAACCATTTCACCTTTAATGCCAATCATAATGAGCATTTTGAATTGAGTATCATCAAAATGAATGCAATCATAAATCTGATAATCTTACATGGAGAAATTGAGGTAATCATATCATTTTAGATATTGATTGGTATAATAAGATGTTGCATATCTTTACAGGAGAGTCATTTCACAGCCTGGGATTTTCATATAGACTTGGAGAAAGAACAATTTCATCAATAGTGACAGAAACTTGTGATGCAATTTATCAGAATCTTAAGGATAGATATCTTCAGGTACATAACATTTTTTGTTTTCTACTTTTTGGTTTTCAATACAATATTTAATGTGCTAATTAAAACCAACTCACATAACATTGAAGAGTGCAGTGAAAGCAATATACTGTATGAATTTTAAAGATTAGAATTGTCCGTACAATGGCCCTTCACTCATATCTTGCTGGTCAAGTGACTGCCTGAAAGACTGCATTCTAGCATGTTGACCAGCATGATATGGGTTGTTGAATTCATTTGAGAAAGAGCCCATCTGTGCCTGAAAAAGAGCATTTTGAATGTTGTTCATTGCAACAAGTCTTGTTTTCTCATCCATCACAGACAAAGCATGTGTAACGTATTCCCCAAAGGCAGCTGAAGGGCTTGGCTTTGCATCCTTTTTTGCAGCTAAATTTTCATCTGCAGAGAAAGATGATGCAAGAGACTTCAGAATGGAGAGTTCTTCCTCTTCCTTTTTCTGCTTTGCAGTTTTGGATTTTTTAACAGCAGCCAGTGGCCTGCTTGTTGAAACTGGTGTCTCTGCAGCAGGGGCATCATTGTCGTCCAAGTCTCCATCACAGTCACTGTCACCAGTGTTAAGCTGTGGCTCAGATAAACTTTCAGTTGAAGACTAAAATTTAATATTTTTGTATTTTAGATTCCAAGCACATCTCATCAATGGAAAACAATCAGTGATGGTTTCTACAATTTATGGGACTATCCTTTTTGTGTTGGTGCATTAGATGGCAAACACATTGCAATCAAACAACCAAAAATGTCTGGATCAGAGTACTTCAACTATAAGGGATATTTCAGCATAGTCCTTCTAGCATTGGCAAGTTATGACTACAAGTTGATATTTGTTGATGTTGGTGCAAGTGGAAGAAATGGTGATGCTGGACTTTTTGAAACATCGCCTCTAAATCAACAGATGAAAGACAAATCAATTGCCTTTCCAGAAGCTGAGCAATTTGGGGAAACATGCATCAAATGTCATTATCATATCATTGGTGATGATGCATTTCCCTTGAGAAATGATATCATGAAACCATTCCCATTTAGACAACTGTTACATGAACAGCACATTTTCAACTACAGGCTTTCTAGAGCACGACGGGTTGTCGAAAACGCTTTTGGTATCATGGCTAATAGGTTCAGGGTGATGCTGACAAAGATTATGTTGGAGCCTGAAAAGGCTAAGCAAATTGTGCTGGCAATTTGTTGTCTGCACAACATGCTGATTGATGAGCAGCCTTCATATAAAAATGCATGTGACAGTGAAAGAGACAACCATGAGCTTTTTCAAGGCAGCTGGAGATTAGACAAATCTCTAACTGAGTTACAGAAGACAAAAAACAGAAACTGTTCATTAAGTGCTAAGGGTCAGCGTGAGCTTTTGAAACAATATTTTTCCTCAACATCTGGATCAGTATCATGGCAAGATAGTATGGTTGCAACAAAAAATAATGAACTCAACTAGCTAGTGTTGTATTGTACCTGCAAATTAGAAATAGACACTCTGTTGGATACATATGGGCTTAAAAATTGAAGGCGGTCTTCTATCCATTGAGTCTTCTTCGTCTTTTTTGGTCGTGCACTTCCACTGCTTGGGATTCTGCGGGAGCGTGCATATTGCGTGCGCAGAGATGCGATTCTTTTTTTCACTTGATTCACTAGAATGAATAAAACATGAATTCGTACAGCAATGTTTCACTTCAAATTGAGTAGGCCTAAGAAAAGAGGACTAGCCTAGCTAGCTAGTCAAAATTATTCACTCACCGTTTGAAGAAAGTTTAGTTGCAATTTCGTTCAGGGCTGCTAGCTTCTTGTTTCTGTCTGAATATTCTGGAGACGTAACCATATACAGACAAGCCTTTTCTTGCCACAGATCGACAAGCTGCTCCTCTTTGCTTGCTGTCCATATACCGACTTCGTCTTTTGTATTCTCCATGGCGTTCTCGATCTTTTTTCTTTTGGCGGGAAAGAAAGGCTCCACAGAATTCACGTGACCATATAATCCAAGTTTTATTGGTTTAAAAATTAAAAACTTGTCTTTCGACCCCGCACATTGCACGATTTTTGTCTTTCGTCGTAAAAGACAAAGACAAATATCAAACATTTTTTATCTCAAAGATAATCGTAAAAGACAAAAATCTTTGCGATTTTGCCCCGCACACTACAGATTTTCGTCTTTTGAGACAAAAATCTTCGTCTTTTGCGACAAAAATCTGCTGTGTGCGCTAGGCTTTAGTTCTGATTTTTTTTCCACGAGACCCAAAGTCAAGCCCTTTTCAATTTTATATCCTTGAGTTTCAAAGGCTGCACTTTTTTATTATTTGGTAGCCATAGATTAAGCTTGGATGTACAAGAAGGGTTATTCAACCCCATTCTTACAGCTGCTTCAATTCTGAACAAAGCTGCGGCAACATGGTTGCAGACTTGCGATAGTCCAGCCATACATGTGCAGTGGCTACATTGTATTTGGCCACTTTCTTTCTGTGAACAAATACAGAGTTTATGTGGGACATCTGAGATCTTTTGTGATGGCCTACATGTTGACTTTATCAGGCAGTATTTGCTTGAAGAGGATATTGGGTGGTATAACAGTGGCTTCAGCCATCCTGTTGTGTAGTAACTGTAACCTCTAGACGTCTTGTAATCATTAAGATCTTGACTTTTCAGGTCTGACGGATTAAACAACAAAAAATTAAAAATATCCGGATACAAAGTTGTTGGCCAAAACTTGAGACCTTCATTTTCCGTCAGCCATCCCTCAGCGATTTGAAAAGGATCCGGAATACATTGGTCAGCAAAGGACAGTTTTGCATTGTATACAATCACAATTTCCTGTTGTACTTCTTCTGCAGTTTTGACAACAGGCACACAGTGGCGGCTCGTGCAATGGGGCACTTTGGGCAATGCCCCCCCAAGAAAAATGAAAAAATTCTACGATTTTTTGCTAGGGCAAAAAGCGAGGCCAGAGTTTGCGTGGCGCGAGGTTGAATATCTTTTCTTGTTTTCCGATGTAAAACGTCGGTTCTACGATGTGAGCCTCGCTCCAATATGATGATGTCATGCCATTGGGCAAGATTTTTTTTGCCCCTCAAACTGGCTATCTGACATGCGCAGTTTCAAATATCACAGTCCCAGCGCTGCCAGAAACGCTTGCTAATTGGCTGAATTATGAGAAATTTGGGCAAGAAAAATTTTGCCCTCACTGTTTCAACAACAACCACAATGATAGAGCATAGAAGTCGTTGCAGGGCAACATCCTATTAAACAAACAAATCTTGATCTCTCGTGTTTCGAAGGCCCAGTATCATTTTTATGAAATATTCTGTTCTACTTAGTGAAGACTTTAATACACTCGTTAGTTATGAATACAGTTCAAAATCTACTAATGGGTCCGTTCCACCAGTTAACTTTGGAAGAGAAATTAGAGGTGAAACGGCTAGGCCCTGTTAGGCCAGATTTGTTGACGACGTCAGGCTCGTCGTCCTGTCGGTTTACCAAAGCCTGGTACTTGAAGTACAGTTGGCTCACTGGTTGTACTCAATCTGGTAAAGTTTACTGTTTCCCATGTCTCCTGTTTGGGAGTCTCAACGAGAAAAGGCTTGGACACAGACTGGTGTAAACGACTGGAAACATCTGTCCGACAAGGTAAAACGGCACATTAGATGTGGTAGCCATGTAGAGAATTGCTTGAAGCTGGCATTTTTTGGCCAAACCAACATTGCCGATCAACTTAGTCAAGCGTACAGGGAATCCATTCTTCAACATAATCTTGAAGTTGAAAAAAATCGGCATATTCTGTCAAGAATTATTGACTGCATTAAGTTCTGTTGTGCTTTTGAACTAGCATTAAGAGGACACGATGAAACGTCTAGTTCAGACAACCCAGGTGTATTCCTTGGTTTGGTAAACTTCACAGCAGCTCTTGATTCTGTTTTGAGTCAACATTTGGAGACAGCAAATATATTTAGAGGTACTTCTAAAACCATCCAGAATGAATTGCTTAAGATCATGTACAAAATTATGCAAAGTAAAATCCAGAAAGAGATAAAGGAAGCTGATTTTGTGGCAGTGATTGCAGATGACACAACTGATGTATCAAATCACTTACAGAATGTTGTGGTGTTTAGATACATAACATCTGGGAAGATTGTTGAGAGGTTTTGGACATTTTGTGACATGCCACAGGGTGATGCTGCAACTATATCATCCAATGTGCTAAGTTGCTTGGATAACATTCTACCTGGGACTCATGAAAAACAGAAGCTTGTTGCACAATGCTATGATGGTGCATCAGTAATGAGTGGCCAACATAGAGGTGTTCAGAGCATAGTAAAGGATGCATATCCCAATGCTCACTATGTTCATTGCTATGCCCACCAACTCAACCTGGTACTACAACAGGCTGTTTCACATATCACTGGTGTAAGAGTATTCTTTGCAAATTTAAATGCATTTTCAGTTTTTTTCTCTCGCTCTCCAAAGAGAGTATCATGCCTGGATGAATGTGTGGCCAGAAGAATTCCTCGCTCTGTGCAAACCAGATGGAATTTTCAAAGTAGAATTGTCTCAACTGTGTTTGAGCACAAGGATGATCTGATAAAGTGCTTTGAGATGATAATAAACACATGGAAAAGAGACCAAGTAAGTGTTCGTGAGGCAAGTGGCCTTCTTCATTGGCTTCAGGACAGAAACTTTTTAATTTATCTGGAGTTCTTCCAGCAGTTGATGCCACATGTAGATATTCTCTATGCTCAATTGCAAAAACGCCAGATCTCTGCAACATTCATTCAGACATGCATCCAGAATTTTGTCAAAGCTATCAACAATGTGAGAGATAAAGTTCCAGATATCTGTTCAATGACCTCATCTGCTGAGAGTGTGGATCCTCTTCCAAAAAGGCCCAGATTCCCCTACTCTGATGAAGAATTATCTGTGACACTGATAGAAGTCTCTGATGTTATAATATCACATTGCTGCTCAAGATTCAAATTCACTGAACATCTTACTGCTGCCACACTTTTTGAAAGTGGTTCATTTTCTTAATTTGAGCAATCCTTCCCAACCAAGGTCGTTGAAAATGCAGTGAAATCCTTTCCTTTCTTTGATGGAACCAAGCTACAATCAGAACTTTCTGTCATCTATAGCAGAACAGAATTTAGACAATGCTGTGGGGCTGTTCCATTGCTCCATCTTCTCATGGAAAGCAACCTTGCAGACACATTTTCAGAAACTGTGCAACTGCTTAAAATCATAATGACAATTCCAATGTCATCCTGTGAAGCAGAGAGATGTTTCTCAACACTTAAGAGAATAAAGAATTTCCTGAGAAACACAATGTCTGAAGAAAGGTTGAATGCTTTGGCCATGCTCTCCATGGAAAAGAGCCTTATCAGAGATTCAACAGACTTTAACAAAAATGTCATTGAGATGTTTGCCCAGCTGAAAAATAGAAGAGCCAAGTTCCTTTTTAAATAATCAATGACAAACTTTTGCAAACTTGTTAAACTTAAAGTTGATAGTTTCTGTTTTTTGTCCTCAGTATTTCTATTAGTTTATTTAATTATTCATATGCCAGTGTCTATATAATGTTTCTTTACAATTGCAAATTTGGTTTAACAAGAAATAACCTGCATGAAATTGGTTTTTAGCCCCTAATGAGGCACAAAATATTGACCCTTCACAATGGTACTTTGGATATTTTAACTTTCTAGTTTCTCAGTTAGTTTTAAATGGTAAGCATCACAGTTGATTGAAGTAAAATGATGATGTTTTAGAAATAAAGTGAGCAAAGTAGACTTTAGTAATGTGCCATGATTGCCATTAATCAAAATTCTTAGGAAATTTTATGGAAATTGTATTAAAAAATGACAAAAAGAAATTTTAGTTACAAAGCTGTTTGAATAACATAATTTCTTTTTTTGAAACTGTGGCATCCAAGGTGGAAAGTATGTAAAACTAAGCAATTTTGAACACATTTATAACAAGTCTCTGTGCAAATTAAATACTTCTTGGTAGATTTAGATTTAAATTTTTAACTAACTTTTAGATCTTTGAGCATTGCATAACAAAAGTAATGACTTTTTCTCATGTTACTTATCTTCCGGGAACCAGGAGCATGGCTCTTAAATTTGTATTTGGCAACACCCAACACCTGACATTTTGCCCCCCCAGCAAAAAGTCCCACCAGCCGCCACTG